GAGATATCTGATTACTGGGAAACATATTTGAGCAAAAACACTCATTGGAGAATGTAACATATTGAGATATCTGATTACTGGGAAACATATTTGAGCAAAAACACTCATTGGAGAATGTAACATATTGAGATATCTGATTACTGGGAAACATATTTGAGCAAAAACACTCATTGAGGACAATTGTTTCCCCTTGCAATACATTACAACGTGTTCACAACTTTGTCTGGATATAGAAACAAGACTTCTGTCTGGGTGTTACGATATAATGTTTTCAGGATATTGTCTTGGTTCACCAGAAATAGGTCTAGTAGATCAACGAAGGATCAAAAGCTTCCTTAAATAACATAAAAACGTACAGAAGTTATTATTTTGGTTATACTCTTGTGGAATCATAAACGACCTAGTTTGGGAGCGTGTAGCTCTGATAATTTATTCCGAGGTTTTCTTCTTGGGTTGTTTTATTTCCTCATGCATATGGTATAATGATCAGATCGTGTGCAATACCTTGGGTCACATGGCAGTTTACGAGATAGGAAATACCTACTGAAGCACGATTATCGCCAGAGGCATCTAGTTTGAAACATTCTTGGGAGAACAATACAGATCACCGGTTAGCGATACAAAAATGTTTCTAGCATGACGATTACATAACTGGCATGTTCCCCCCCCCCTGACCTAGTTTCATGAAGCTGGCTACGTATATCTGTATTGTCATGTAAGACAAGAGGAGCAACTCGCTTCTTGATCCCCCAACTCAAAGTGATGACACTGTCGAAATTGTCTAGGACAGCCACCCATTGTCGTGGAGAAAAGTCTGTCTTAGACAGGTGATCCTCTAACACAGTGTTCTTAAAATGTAAAAAAAAGGAGAAAATAAACAAATAACCTCCAGGGAGAAAATAGGAAGTGCCTTTCTGTACAAGTGATCGTTTTATGCAGGTAGCTGTTAGAGTAGGTTAGACTGTATTGTAGAAGTTTTTTCATGTATTTGTCTCACGTACTGGAGAACGAACCAAGCAAAAGCAATTAACAAAAACAACCCAAAAACAACAACAAAACAAAACAAAAACAAAAAACCCAACAAACTTGAGACTACACAAATCGTTATGAGAAAATGTCAGTAACTCGGTGTACATTAATTGATTTCAAAATTTAAAAAATGAGGACTCTCAGATCAATCGAACAATTAACCGACTTATCTTACTGAATGACATGTGTCCTGCATCAGTCAGAATACCGAAAGAGATTTAGATTTAAGGTGTTTCGTTTTGAGCTTGGAGTCTTCTCGCGTGGAAGAATTAAATTAATGAACCGTGGCCAACAGCGTCCATAAGATGAATTAATCTTGAATAATGCAGTGGCCATAAAATGGTTGTACTCATGGGTCGAAGAGGATTATTTCTCGAGGATCGACCAAGTTGAGCGATGGTAAACGTTGATTAATAATTCACACACTGGTACAAAACACACGGCTGATAGATCGTTCTCCCTTGTTATACATTACAACATGTTCAAAACTGTGTCTTTATATATATATATATATA